TCCCAGCTGTCCAGCTGTTGCTCCCCCACTGAGAGGACCCCACAGTGGTGACTTGAAGTAGGGCACAGTGGCATCCCCCCTCGACACCATGCTTGCCCTGTACAAGTCCCATCCACCCACAGCCAGCTGTCACCCAGGTAGCGCAGGCCAGTCCACACCTGGGCTGTCAAAGCCGTCCTGCTGGTCTGCAGTGCTTCGTTCAGAGCAGAATCAGAGATCAAGCTGACCAGCTGCTTGTTCAGGCTGCCACAGTACTCGAACGCCTCCTCCCAGGTCTCCTTTTCTTTTACCAGAATAAGGCTGCTTTGAAAGCAGTAGAAAGGGAGTTTCTTCTCGCAGTTTATAGTTTGCCAGCCTTTCTCACTCAGCATCACACAGCTGTGGCCGACACCTAGTTCCTGCAGGGGTATCCAGAGAGGAAACAAAGCATTGTTCCCTCCTGACCAACTCCATGTACCTTTAACATCCTTGTAGAGCCCAATCCAGCTGCTGTTGAAAGTAAAAGTACCACTGCTGTTGGTAGTAGCATTGGCATCTGTCCCTAATATGAGTTCTTCAATTTCCTCCTGGCTGATGATGGAAGTCAGGTCGGTGTAATACTTTCTGCAGTACTCTCTGGCCTCTGACCATGTCATTTTCTCGGCTACATAAATATTCACTCCAAAGGTGGCACAGAAAGCTGGAGTGAAGACTCCTATGAGGAGGATGACTCTAAGAGTGTCTGTCCTCATCTTGATTTCTTGTTGAAGTGTCCTTCACTGGAACATTTCAGAGCTCTTAAAAACCCTTGAAGGAGCATGGAACACCCAGTCATAGCTCATCCAAAGCCATTATGAAAATATCCAGGAGAGTATACGCAGACGTTCAAATGCAAATGTAGAACATCCAAATCTTCACAAATAAGGGTGAATGGTAAGATTTTTATTGCCTGCCACCAAAAGGTATAACTGCAATAATGCTTTTACTGTCTATGTGTGTCATTAGCATGTAGTTCATGAACCCATGGACAGAATTAAATGAAATTTTCAGTAAGGAATTATTGAATTGGCATATACAATTATTATATGGAGTCAAGCCAATTAAGTATAGCTGCTACTGCTATGTCACTTTAGCTAACACAAAAAATTACTAACTTGGTCAGTTTTAAACCTAAACCTGGTGATTTAGCTGAGAGTTATCCTCAACACATAATATGAGTTCTAACACATCTTGCTCTATCGCACAACAACACAAGAGATCACACAGTCATTTCCATTTGACCAAAAAGGCTTAAACTCTGTCCTTTCTCAGTATAACAGTCTTGGTTTAAAATCATGGCAGGAAAGATGACAGGTGATAGGCATTCCTTCATGAAATGTCCTTTAGTTTTAAGTATGTTTGCAAATGTTTCCACTCATTTTTGTGTGCATTCTTATTGAACAGATATGATGCATTCATCTATTTTCTATTAAAGCTTTCATAAACAAAAGATAAATATTTTTCCTTTGGATTTCAAAATTAAATTGGAAATTTGATCAGTGTTAAATAAACCTTTATTACAAAAACTATAAAATGTTTAAACTAACCTCTTTATCATGATGAATATTTAAAACTGTGCTTTTATCCCATGCATGTGGCACGAGTCAGTTGTTTTTTACTGTTCTGAACTCACGAGGCTTGTTGGTAATGTTTTGAATCCCAGATTTTTCTCCATGAATATTCAAACTACTGCAATTAGCTCTATAGGCTATTTTCTGCTTTGCTTTAGTCAAAATATTGATTTGCATTTCAGCGGGTGCTGTTAACACACTGCAATTATTTCCACGTTTGCATAGGTAATAAGAAAAACAATAAATGGCTGCTTTGGACTTTAAAATAAAGTTCATTAAATTAATTTTATATATGTAGCACAAATTCATGCCCTCTTATGGTATTTTTCAGACCTAGTACATTTTCTTTATTAATTAATATTGTGTAATGTAAAACAATTTAAAGGGGGTGGGATATTAGCGGACTATAAAAAAAGTATTTTAATATATGCTAATTGGTCAGGTTTAATTTATTTAACTGAAACTTAAAAATATAACAGTAAATGTTCCTTACTGATTACTTAGTTTCTTGTTTGATTACTTTACCATTATTTTCTATTCTTGTGTACTTATAAAATATAAAGTATCTGGTTTCCTCCCACAGACAAAAAGATGTACCTTATGTGGCCTTCAGGTCCAGGTCTTCCTTAAATGAGATCTGTGATCGCTGTGGGATTTGTCTGGTTAAATAAAGGTTAATAAATATAAAACAAATTACTTTAGCTGTGCTATCAGTGTGCTTGTAGTTGCAGAATTTACTTTCCTACCTTAACAGTTCTATGAATTTATGTAATTGTAAGTGCAAACATATTGCAAAATGGACTTGTTAACTTTAGGATGTTTAAATAGTTTTTATCCCAAAATCTTATGTCATAAATAAATGCAAATATTGCCATTTTTAAAAAAAGTTACTGTATCAGCCCTTACTGAGCAAAGTGTGTGTTCCTATTTATTTTTTTCCACATTACCACATTGTAAAAACTCTACAATCTTTTTACAAAGCTTTGTTGATGTTAAATTTGGCTTTATAAAATACAAATAAAAACTTGATAAAAAAATATGTTTTGTGAAGAAGTGGTTCTGGTAGTATGATTGAAGTAAGTTTTAATAAATGTGATGCAATTTGTTTGCACGTGAATGTGCAGTTATTGTGTGATTTAATGTTTAATGCATTTAACAGAGTGGGGGAAATGCTTATTTATAAGTAAAGCTTGTGTTTTTATACAGGTCCTTCTCAAAAAATTTGCATATTGTGATAAAGGTCATTATTTTCCATAATGTAATGATAAGAATGAAACTTTCATATATTTCAGATTCATTGCACACCAACTGAAATATTTCAGGTCTTTAATTGTTTTAATACTGATGATTATGGCATACAGCTCATGAAAACCCAAAATGCCTGTCCCAAAAAATTAGCATATTTCATCCCACCAATGAAAGACAAGTGTTTTTAATACAAAAAATGCCAACCTTCAAATAATCATGTTCAGTTATGCACTCAATACTTGGTCGGGAATCCTTTTGCATGAATGACTGCTTCAATGCGGCGTGGCATGGAGGCAATCAGCCTGTGGCACTGCTGAGGTGTTATGGAGGCCCAGGATGCTTCGATAGTGGCCTTAAGCTCATCCAGAGTGTTGGGTCTTGCGTCTCTCAACTTTCTCTTCACAATATCCCACAGGTTCTCTATGGGGTTCAGGTCAGGAGAGTTGGCAGGCCAATTGAGCACAGTAATACCATGGTCAGTAAACCATTTACCAGTGGTTTGGCACTGTGAGCAGGTGCCAGGTCGTGCTGAAAAATGAAATCTTCATCTCCATAAAGCTTTTCAGCAGATGGAAGCATGAAGTGCTCCAAAATCTCCTGATAGCTAGCTGCATTGACCCTGCCCTTGATAAAACACAGTGGACCAACACCAGCAGCTGACATGGCACCCCAGACCATCACTGACTGTGGGTGCTTCACACTGGACTTCTGGCATTTTGGCATTTCCTTCTCTCCAGTCTTCCTCCAGACTCTGGCACCTTGATTTCCGAATGACATGCAAAATTTGCTTTCATCCGAAAAAAGTACGTTGGACCACTGAGCAACAGTCCAGTGCTGCTTCTCTGTAGCCCAGGTCAGGCGCTTCTGCCGCTGTTTCTGGTTCAAAAGTGGCTTGACCTGGGGAATGCGGCACCTGTAGCCCATTTCCTGCACACGCCTGTGCACGGTGGCTCTGGATGTTTCTACTCCAGACTCAGTCCACTGCTTCCGCAGGTCCCCCAAGGTCTGGAATTGGCCCTTCTCCACAATCCTCCTCAGGGTCCGGTCACCTCTTCTCGTTGTGCAGCGTTTTCTGCCACACTTTTCCCTTCCCACAGACTTCCCACTGAGGTGCCTTGATACAGCACTCTGGGAACAGCCTATTCGTTCAGCAATTTCTTTCTGTGTCTTACCCTCTTGCTTGAGGGTGTCAATGATGGCCTTCTGGACAGCAGTCAGGTCGGCAGTCTTACCCATGATTGTGGTTTTGAGTATTGAACAAGGCTGGGAGTTTTTAAAAGCCTCAGGAATCTTTTGCAGGTGTTTAGAGTTACGTCGTTGATTCAGATGGTTAGGTTAATAGCTTGTTTAGAGAACCTTTTCATGATATGCTATTTTTTTGGGACAGGCATTTTGGGTTTTCATGAGCTGTATGCCATAATCATCAGTATTAAAACAATTAAAGACCTGAAATATTTCAGTTGGTGTGCAATGAATCTGAAATATATGAAAGTTTCATTTTTATCATTACATTATGGAAAATAATGACCTTTATCACAATATGCTAATTTTTTGAGAAGGACCTGTATATAGCAAAGGTTTATATTCCGTTCAAGTCAGCACAACACAAGTAAGCTGAAGATACTCGCTGCAAGATACTGTAAACTGTGAACATTTTATCAACAAAAAGCAAGCATATTTATACATGCAGTTCAAAATGTGAAGTAAGATGTGTATCACTGAAGAATAAAAAAAATCCAAACATTTTGAGATGAAAACCATCATCTGAAACTAAACTCTGTAAGCCGTGAAACATCATGGCAGTGATTTTTTTTTTCTTCAAACTAAACTTTTTATCTGTCGTGGAAAAAAGATGACAGTTATAAGACTGTGGTAACACTAGAAAAAAAAAGTTTCAGAAATGAGAAAAAAAATAAACTTTACAAAAATAGCAACAAAAGCACAAAAAAGAAATGCACGTTTGAACGTGCACTAGATCAGTTTTACCATGAGGTCAAATACAGAGGTTTAAACGTTAGCACTCAGGAAACTATGTACACATGTCTGTACTGATATTCGGTAAAGTTAAAGGCTTGAGAATGTTACTTTATTTTTCAGTAAATCCAAAGATGTTTTCTGTTTTCATTCAAGCCAAAACATCATGATAATGAACTTATTTTTGGTTTTATCAGAAAGCCAGCAATGATTAGTTTAAAATGTTGCTAACTTTCACAAAATGTTATTTCTAGAATAATTCCAATTCACTGTAAGTGGTGTGAAGGCTTGGAATAAACATTGAAGCAGTGAGTGTTAGTTGTTACAAAAGCACTGTGTTCATTGGTTTCAATGCAGCGTAAATGCAAATTTAAGTAATGGGAGAATTGTTTCTTTTTTGTCGGGGATCACAAATATGGCATAACTTGACAATATTATCATAAAAGGCTGAACTCCGAACAGTTTTCAAATCGCATAGAACGTTTGCTGGTGTCAGCAGGAGCCTGCTAAGGGGAGCATTCTCAAACTTTTCACATTACAGGCACAGTTATCAATACCATCAATCTCGTCGTCATTATCATATCGCCATTATTGGCATCAGTCCAAAGAGTTGCTTGGTGATTTTGTCTTGGATTTATTAAAGGAGTTGGTGAGGGCAAGTTGTCAGGATTTACATCTCTGTGTCTGCCACTTGGGTTTGGTTCGCCGAGTGTCCATTAGTGGTGGTTGGTGAGTTTGTCCCGTTCTCAGGTGGAGACTCTCTGTTGATGGTTGGCTTGTCGACAGGCTCCTGGGGCAGCGGAGCCACGGACACCAGGGTGTTGGCCTGGTTCTCTTCATCCACCTGGAAAGAGTCAGCCTGTAGAAAAACCAGAGCCACATTTTTAGAACTGAGCTTGGATTGGAAGAGGTTTAACAAACTTTAAGATGCGAGTTTGCAGGAAAGTGTGTTCGTGAAAATGGACGATGTGTTTCTTGTTGAGGTTTATGGGCTTCAGTTTTGTATGCACTCAGAAGGATGTTGGTAATATTTTTGATTATTCAAGCATGTTGCTAAGAAAAACACCACAAGGGTGTGCCGCCATATGTAAATGATTTAAAAGATGATGTTAATAATGTTTGAAAAACAAACTGATACCATTTGTAGCCCGTCAGCAATAGGTTGAAGAAGAAAAAGCTTAAACTAGGGGTTCTCAAACTTTTTGGGTTCAGGGACCCCTTACAAGGGAGAAAAAGTTTCAAGGACCCCCTCATAACCCTCATGTTTATTAAATACTTTTCTTCAATTTGTCTCTTTAATGCAATGGAAATATTTGTGAAACAAATACTTAAGACATGTTCTTTAATAGTGTTAATACAATTTTTATACTTTTAAACACGGGGTATTTTTCATTAAAGACACACTTATGGCGATTAGCAAATTTTTAATTAACTTCCAAAAATTACATTGTTGAGAAAATTAACAGTATTGTAGTGAACTAAGCCTCAGGTCAAAACCTGACCCTGAGGACCTTCATGGGACAGGAACTGTTATTTCATTGATTTGAGTCCAGAAATACAAATTAAGCTCATCCAGAGACTTTCTAAGTGTGTCCTGCACTAATCAATTGAAAGAACACTCTCTTTTTTATTGTCATTACTATTTTTACAAATGTCTTGATAATCCAAAAGTGTGTTTAGTTCAAATCATTTTAAATGTTGAAGTGAACTACTCATTTTAAATCAACTGTGAAACAGTATTAATGATTTTTTAATCCTCATTCAAAGTAGAAATCAAGTTAATGTCTGTTACAGAGTAATCATGCATTTTTGATCTTCTGTCTGAAATGAGAAGGAGTGATGTCGGTCAAAAGTCGGAGACTGTCGCAAACAAGTTTATTGGAACGAACTGTCATGTTTTTAAAATCTCTCAGACAGAAATAAGAAGCTGGCACCTGTTTCCTCCCATTTCGCCAAAACATTTTTCTGTCTGCTCCAAAACATTTCTCTGTCTGTTCCAAAAACATCTCACTGTTTTTCTGACTTGTAGTAACCTCTTACATCACTAAAACCACACCCCTGTTGGTTCTTTCAACCAATCAGGATTTCCCAAAAAGGGACCGGAAGCGAACTCTTTAAAAAGTCAACACTTCCTAGTTCCAGTCAGTTCAAAGTTCCGAGAGAGTTCAAAGTTCTGGGAAAGAACAGAAGTTCTGAGAACAGAACCGAACAAAAGTTCTGAAGGGCTGGAGTTAGTTGGGAGTTCTTCCGAGTCTCGTGGGGATTATGGAATCTTCCACATCTGAGTGGAACTCTGACGGGCTCACAGCTCATGTGAGTCCACCCGGGAGGTGAGCGTGCTGTTGAACGAAGTACCGTCACTACTCCGGACGTTTCTCTGCTATCCTACGGAGACGCTGAAATGGTAACGTTGAAAGAGAACTCTACACCGAAGCTGATATATCTTCTGCAAGGTAAAGAGTCGATTTCCACTACCGAAGTGTACCGAGGTAGAGCTGGGTTCGGATGGAGGGTGTCGTTTTTCGTCAACACATTTTCCCTCACACATCTTTTCTCTCCATTTAAACTCCTTCATTCCCCATCTTTAAAACTCTTCTATCTGCCAGTAAAAGATAAGCTAAGCCTGCAGACACTTATTTAAGACCTAAGGATATGTCTGTTGTTTTAAGTTGCAAGTGAGAAATCATGGCCATATGATTTCTCATTGTAAAGCTCATTAATTAAGCTGTGTTAATTGTAATCAATCTGCCAATTAGTGTAAATGTGTGATGTGTTTTTAAATCATTTAAAATAAACGACCCACTGTTGTTGGTGAGTCAGAAATTTAAACACGTCTCTGTCCACATTTACTCCACAAAGCACGATATGACTTAGTCCAGAAAAATGAAAGAATCCGTTTAAATGAAGGATAATATCAGACGCATATTATCTCATTACAGTATCAAAAACCGCTTTAAATCTTTACCTATTCACATGATGAACATAAACGTTTCGTAAAATTAAGAACAAAAGAAGCAGAAGAAAGGTACAAGAAGTATAAAAACAAACCGGTATGGATTATAAGAAAACACAAGAAGGAATATTATAGTGACGTACTAAACAAAATAAAGAATGATATGAAAGCAACATGGGGAGTAATGAATGATATTTTGAAAAATCATAAAGTACAATCAGGTATTTCACAGTATTTTGTAAATTATGACAAATAAATAATCTAAGAGCAAAATGAAATAGCAAATGAATTCAATCAATATTATGTGAATGTTGGCCCAAGTCTTGCAGCTAAAATACCAAATGTAAATAATGATGCGAGTCACACAGTCATGGGTTGTGCCAACAGCATTTTTCTCGGTGACACTGATAAAGAAGAAGTACTGAGTATTGTGAAAAATCTTGCAGATAAAAGATCAAAACACTGGATAGATCCTCCCCCAGAAAATTTTGAATAAAGTAGATGCGATTTCCTGCGTTATGGTGTATTTTAACGGGTTGTTGAATATCTACGTGCTTAGAAATTAAAAGAAAAAGGTTTCTTTTTTTTTTCCGGACCCCTAAACGCCGTCTCGTGGGCCCCTGGTGGTCCAGGGACCCCAATTTGAGAACCACTGGTTTAAAGGACAAAATTCTGCTTTGAGTTTTGTAGAATGAACATATGCTGATATATATTCATAAATTAAACGGATTCTTTCATTTTTCTGGACTGGATAATATTGTGCATTGAATAAT